GTTTTCTGCGGACCTAGTAATTGTGGAAAAACTAATTGTTTATTAACATTAATCACTCATCCTAATGGTCTCAGATTTGAAAACGTATATGTCTACTCAAAATCCCTTAATCAGCCTAAATATACATTTTTGAAAGATTTATTAGAGCCTATTAATGATATAGAGTATCATGCTTTCAGCGAGCATGAGACAGTTGTTTCACCAGATAAAACACGACCAAATTCTATCATGATTTTTGACGATATAGCCACTGAGAAGCAAGATAACGTAAGAGCATTCTTCGGTATGGGTAGACATAAAAAAGTAGATAGTTTCTATCTCTGTCAATCGTACGCTCGCGTTCCGAAGCATCTCATTCGAGATAATGTGAATTTACTTGTTTTGTTTCGACAAGATGGCGTGAATATTAAGCACATTTACAATGATCATGTTAACTCAGATATGTCTTTTGAGAAGTTTAAAGCAATTTGTTCAAAATGTTGGAGAGACGATAATCATGGGTTTTTGGTTATCGACAGAGACAGACCAATAAATCATGGACGATATAGAAAGAGATTTGATTCTTTTGCTATAAATATAGATGAGTGAGTGGATGAAGGTTATTTAACTTCAGAAATTAGAAACGTAAACATGGCTGACTTTGAAAGAGAAAAGAAGGTGCTCGAGCAATTATCCATGGCTCGTAATGCCATAAGACGCAAGTATCAACTAATAAAACGCGGTAAAGCTGATTTAGAAATGACATTGCATGAAACTTTTAAACCTATGGTTGATCCATTGAAGAAACACGTAGAGGCAACTACTGATAAAAGTAACGCTACTACTGCTGAACAGCCAACGAAAAAGAAAAAGAAAATCGAGTTCGATAATGTTTTCAAGTCAGAAGTAGCAACTGACATTCCCTACGAATCTAGATATTTCAATAGTACTGCTAATGAATTAAATTCTACATTACAACCGCTTGATACTACATTTAAGTCTGATATTTCTATTGATGATAATGATGATGATCATGATGAATCATCACTTGATACAACTGCTATAAATTTGAACAAAAGTAGTTCAAATGTAACTACAGAACAGAAACAACAGCTATTGGATGATTCGATTGTAGGAAACTATGTTCGACTATTGCATGAACCTCAGCAGAAAAGTAATTTAGACAAGACATTTGGTGTTCGTTTACATGAAAATACATATGTCATAGGCAATTCTCCAATTTCCTTCCAAAACGATAACGTGACTGTGAATGATAAAGCATACAGCAAGACGCTTGGTTTAATGGAACTTCTCTTTCGTAAAGAACCTGATTCTAAATTAATCAGTTCATTGGATATTGAAAATTATATAAAAATTCTTGAAATCACTAACGCTCATCGAAAGAGATACGAAACAAATGGAGAATATCGCAATAAGCATGTAAATAAATTCAAAAAGTATATTGGTCCAAATTTATCTTTGAGCAGTAGCGCTAAGAAGCGAAAATCGACTATTGATGGAAGAGGTCTTTTTCCTAACTGTAAAATAGCTAGAAAAGGAACGTTATTTGATTATGTATATTGGAATGATCCAAACCGCCGGTAATTCTAGTCATGTTAATGAAATTCATTCAATTATTCAAGAATTACGTGAAGCTGGCTATATATATTAAGAGAATCCTAAATATTACTCAGTAATAAAATAAGTGTTGATGTGTTTGGACGTATATTGAATAAAAAAAAGGAGGGTAATCGAGGTCCTCCTGGTATAGGGTTTAATATCACTGAAGACGGACAATACGACGCGAATGACAAAAGAATTTGTTATATAGCCGATTCTCAGGAGAGTAATGATGCTGTAAACTTACGAACGTTGTGAAAAACTAGTGAAGCTAACGTTACTACGCTTACGAGTATGATAAATGATCTCTCAAAATCATTGGATACAATAAGATTAGAATTAGTAAAGCATCGAGTAGTTATTACTCAGTTAGAAAAAGATAATATTAGTAATCATAAAGAGAAAGAAAAAGCTATTGGACCGTTTGACATTTTAAAAACAACTTTAAAAATAGTTTAAAATAAAACATCAAAGAGTAGTGGATGAGTTACATAAACCAGCACGTCGAAACTATCCCCGTAGAAAAGTTGATGTACGCGGAATAGATGAGACATGGCAAGCTGATCTTGTAGAGACGCAAGGCTACTCGAGAGAAAACAAAGGTTTTCGATATCTACTAACTGTTATTGATATATTTTCAAAGTACGCTTGGGCAGTTCCTGTGAAACAAAAAACTGGTGTAGATGTTGCTTATGCAATGAAGTCTATATTAAAAAAAGGACGTACTCCTAGAAATCTACATGTGGATTATGGCAAAGAATTCCACAATTCAAATTTTCAAAGACTAATGACAAAGTATAAAATAAATCTATATTCAACCTATAGCAATCTTAAGGCAACTATTTGTGAACGTTTCAATCGCATGCTAAAAAATGTCATGTGGAAAAAATGCAGTCTTCAAGGAAATTACAAATGGATCAACATTCTAGCTGATTTATTGAAATCTTACAATAATCGAAAACATCGTACGATAGATATGAAGCCTAAAGACGTAACTAAAGAGAATGAAATGCAGGTGTTGAGACGATTCTCTTACGACCGACGTCTTTTCGTTAAGAGCCCTAAATTTCAAGTAGGCGATAAAGTACGTGTGAGCAAGTCTAAATACGTTTTCGAAAAAGGATACACTCCTAACTGGTCTACTGAGATTTTTACTATTCAACGAGTTGCGAAGACAAAGCCTATCACTTATCATTTAAGAGATTATAAAGGCAATCCAATTGTTGGAGGTTTTTACGAGCAAGAACTACAGAAAGCTATGTATCCTGATGTATATCTCATTGAAAAAGTTTTAAGGAAACGTGGTAATCAAGTATACGTTAAATGGTTGGGATTCGACAATTCGCACAATTCATGGATAGATAAGACTTTATACGTATGAAAGAATAAAGACGTTTATGTAAAGTAACTTTTATTCAAATAAATATCATAATAATAATAAATAATTTTTGTTTTATTTTAATGGTAAGAGCCCCAACCTTCGCTCTCACCTGTGAGGTACTTCCATTTGAGCATCATCACTTGTGAGTCCATTAGAACAAGTCGAAACCTACTTTAGTAGAAACACCTGTGACTCATTTACCTCTCCACAATATATTTTATAATAAATTTATTGTACATACTTTATTGAAATAAAGATACATTGTTGTTACATTAAATAATAAATTAAAATCTACCAGCGCTATGATATTCAATCTGTAAACAATAATTTTGTACATGATCTGAAAGTAATATATAAAGATCATAATGTTTCATGATGGCTCTTGAAATTCGATCTGGTAAAATAAGTTGGAATTCACAATCGAGCTCGAGAATGATTCGATTGTTATCTTCTTCCTTAAAGTTTGTTACTAAATAACAATGATTTTCTTCAAGTTCATAATGATTTTTCTCCGGTAGTGGATCAAAGGGCTTCATAGCTATTTTATTTAACATTTCTAAGTCCATCTTGCTATCGAAGACTTGAGAATAGTGGAGAAGGAAGTGGATACTACTGGTAATGATTCTTCTAACAGAATGACGTTTCCCGAGCTCTTCTCTCTCTCTCTTAAGACCTTTACCCCACTACTACACTTTTTTCTAGCCGGCACGACCGCCTCCCTCCACTTGCTACTTCTTCCACCTCCACTTGCTGCTTCTTCCACCTCCACTTAGATTTTTAATTTGTTAAGTGTATATACTATACAATGATTTTTTAGTATAGGTTCAAGAATATGATTCATCATTATTATACGATTTTTAAATAGTTCTCGCGATATTATACTGCTTAGTTGCATAATACGATGTTGGAAGCGTTCTCGATCTCGCGCAAGCTGCTCCCACACTCCTTTCCTCGAGTCTTTATCTTCAATAGGAAAATGATGAATTTGATTATTATCCGAGAACCATACATACTTCGAAGCGCGAATGCTCTTCTTGTTTCTTCTAATAGACGCCATGATGAATCACAAGGGGATAGTCTTGCTATAGCTATTTCTTCTTACTGAATTATGGTAAAGCAAACTATGCATCCTTCTTATAAATATACTAGGACATCACAGCGCGCTTCGCGCGCACAAGTGTACGTCACATGTGATTTAATTGTAGATTAAATAAAGAATTCAAGTTAAAGTATATATCGTTTATTTTTGAAATGTATCGTTTATATATATATATATATATATATATGAGAATAAAACATAAAATTTTCGAATGAATTGAATCAATCTCAATGATATAATTCTGTATAAACATAATTTTTAACAACTGCAGTTTGCCTTTGATTTCCTAGATATATTTTCAATGAATTCCATGATCTTACTCGAGACATTGCTACATAAAGTTGACCGTGATTAAAAACATCTCTTCGAAGATCGATACCAATTTTGTCTAAAGTTTGTCCTTGTGCTTTATTTATCGTCATAGCAAAAGCCAATCTTATTGGAAATTGGCGCTTTTTAAAAGTTAAGAGATATAGATTTTCATAATACAATGTAATCCGATTAATAAAAACTATATTATTCCGTTTATCTCCCGTCAATATTTTACATTTTAATAAATGATTAGAAAAATCAATTATTTGCAACCGTGTTCCATTACACAATCCTTCACTGAGACTAATATTCCTGATTAACATAACTATACAAAATTTTCTCAAACGTAATTTATGAGGAGGAAAGTCAGGTGGGTTTAATGAATTAAGGTACTCAGGTAAAAGAACATCTCCCATTTCACCATTGTCACAATTGTCTATACTGTCTATGCTCGTGTATATGTGTTCAGTCATTTTATCTAATAAATCAGTAATTTTATTATTCATATCATCCACATCAACATTTCTGGCAGATAGGATAGCACAATTACTAATATCATCAAATTTTTTGTCTTTTATCAACTCACCAAAAATGTGTTGAACGATGCATTCATTTGCAGATAGTATAGCAGTGTTGTGGAAGTTGTAAATTATCATCTTGTTCATTTAATGTTCCATCACCAACATGCAATAAATATTTAGCAAATTCAATTTCATGTGGTAAAACTCTCATGTTAGTATTCAACTTATATATAGAAAAAAATGACCACAACTGAGAATTTTTTATAGACAAATTTAATATTTCGTTACGCGTCCCATTAACTTTAATAGGAAGTAATTGTCTAAAATCACCCCCTAAAACCATTATTTTCCCACCGAATGGTAGATCACTGTTCATGATATGTTTTAAGGTTCTGTTCGCTATTTCTAAAGCGTATCTTGGCGCCATTGGTGCTTCATCCCAAATAAATACTTTAGTATTTTTTAAAAGCATACCTTCAGTTGATTGTATTTTAATATTTGAAGAGGAATCATTAAACATCGGAACTGGTAAGCCGAATGTCTTATGTACCGTTTTTCCATTAGGCAGCAATGTTGCAGCAATGCCGGTGTATGCCATTGTGGAGCATTTGATATTCTCTGACATCAGAAGATTATATATGGTAGTGTAAACGAAAGTTTTGCCAGATCCTCCTGGTCCATCAATGTAGAAGCAAGTTAAGCCAGTATAATTATGAGAACGTGATGCTTCAATAATGTTATTAACTATTTCTTTTTATTCTACATTCAATTTTTCATATTGTTTATTTCCAATTCATAATAGTTGTGTTCTGTCAAAGTTATTCGTAGTATCAACTATGCATGTCATAATACTTTGATCCATTGTCGGAAAGTCAGCTAAACTTTTTCCTTCTTTAATTAACATATTATTTATGTCAGAATAAGCCATTTGATAACTGATATTAGATTCGTTATTACGCGAAAAATCTTCAGACATAGAGTCTTTAAAGGATTCCCATAATTTCTCTGGATAAATCGGTTGATAATGAATCAGTATAACAACAAATAAATGTCTGAGGCGTCTAGGCATCATCCAAAGGCTAGCTTCCCTCATAGCTTTGTTCCATTCATCGTCATCTTCTATAACTCCTAATGCTAGACATGCTGCTGTGAAAGAATGATGTAATACATTATCTATTCTTTTTAAGCCATCGTAACTCGTAGCCCCTTTGACATGAAGTAATAATAATCTGAAATGAAATAATTCAATTTGAGTTGGACTTATTGAATACATTCGGCCTATACAATTGAGATGTTTTTTTCGAGTTGCCCATGAAGAAACATTTGACCATCGACTTTAATTTTTTTGTACGTAAAATGTTTAGGAATTTCAGTATAGTAATATTGCCTTGCTATCTCGTTAGTTGCATTCAACTAAAAATAATCAAGTAACATACTGCTCGAATTATTTAAAGTTGCTAATAAAGACGTTTCATTTTCATCCTGTGCAATAATTACTGCTTGTTCATTAGGCAAATGTACCGATAATCTTGTAACGACGTGACTCTTATCTTGCAATTTTTTACTGAAAATTCTGTAACATGCTTTCACTGGACCAACATAACGTGTTTCAATGAAATTATGACATTCATCGTGATCAATAGTGGTACCGTTTTCCGTTTGTCCAATCATAACTGTAGCTGCATCGTGTCCTTTATAGACATATTTATATAAATATTTAACAGATGTAATACTTAAAACAATTTCCACGTTAATATGACAATCAAAAATTAGAAGTAATTTAGCACAATATGGAACTACCCACCTATTACCTACTGTATGTCCATTACAACATTCATAAGTACCGGTATCTCTTCTTTGATAATGTGGATAACCATTTTCATCCATAGTAGTATTTTGATAAAATTCTTTTGGAAAATGTTTTGAGCACTTTTTCTCTATCATGCACCAGTCGCCACATGGTCCATGAATCATATTTCTCATGACTATATCGTATAAACGGGAATCGCTGTAATTTATTGGTATTTCAGCTGATATAAATTTATTAACTATATCAGGCGTAGTAATTTTGTATCCTTGCTCTAATGTAATTAGTAAATACGGCAATCCTCGTTTTTGGAATTCAATTACATAAACGTAAGATACAACTTTTCCCAATAAACTTTGTTTTTTTTTTTTTTTTTTTATTTGAAGCTTTCAAATCATTTACAGATTTATTCGCTTTACAGTAGGTAATAATAACTTGATATACACTTAATATACATGTTTATATACGCTTATGGAGAGTTTTAGCATTGGAATATATACAGTAGTGATATTTATATTTTACTAGTTTAAACAGATTAAATGCGTAGCGAGCATTTTTTGAGGAAATTTATTATGCGAGAACACGCAGCAATATCAGGCTCTTTAATTATCGCTTCGATGGACAATGGAAACTGAAGATTAATTTGTGAGAGTTGAGCATACAGTTCTATTCTTTGATCGTAATATGTTGGACAATCCCACAATACATGTTCAATATCTTGGGAAGGATATGAACACGGATAACTGGCATCTCCGATAATTGACATCCTAGCGAGAGACGCATTTAGATTGTAATGATTTGCTCTCAGCCGGTTTATTGTAATTATAAACTCACGCGAGAGCTTTTTTCCTTGGAACCATAGTTTGTTACAGTCTTTATAATAGCGGTCAAAGTAGCATTTGCCTTTATCCAGGTCAGTATTTGTGAGTGTCATTTTGGTATTGTCTTTCATGCTGCATTTAAAAGATTCTTTCAAGTCGGAGAAGGGAAGTTTATCTAAGTCAACCGGTCTACGACTTGCTGCATGTTTAGCTTGTGCGTCTGCAATTTCATTACCCGTGATCGCTGAGTGTGAAGGAATCCAATAGATTTGAATGTCTCCAGTTGCACTTTTTTGGTCTTGAAATTGAAAATATTTAAGTTTAATATCTAATAGGTAAGGGTTAGTTTTGATGTTCATCATTGGATTTTGTAAGCGTTCGAGAAGACTGAGCGAGTCACACATAATGATATTGCAGGTATCAGTGTTATGAAGAGCCAGATCTAACGCATCTCTTACTGCTATACATTCGGCGGAAAATACTGAAGTTTTTTTGTTTAGGCTTCTATTAATTACAATATTTTCCTTGAGATCTACGCAGGCTGAGCCAGTAGAGAGAGCGGAGTCACTTCTACTGCCGTCAGTGTAAAATATTTTAGAATTTGGAGAGTTCAAGTCATTACATATTTGCTTCAAAGATGTGTTTTGCTGTCGTTTTATTTCAGTTATTTTCTTAAACGGGACTGGGTTCATAATGATGCTGTAGTCATACATATAAATACTATAATTTCGTGTCTTGATTATATTTTTTGCAAGACAAACTACGTTTTCGATGCAAGTTTCATAGATCCTTTTCTTTTTTCTTTTGCTTTTATGGTTTTGGGTATAGAACTTTTCGACAGTTTTGTTTATAGCCAGGCTTTCATTCGATAGAATTTTTGCTATGTAAGTGTTACAAAGAAACTTGGCTCTTTCGTGAATGGTAGGTAGTTTGGATTCAGCTAATAAAATTCTAGTAGGAGTCGTTTTGCGGAATCCGAGTGCAAGTCTGATAGCGTTGAATTGTATTCTTTCTAATTTAACCTGCTGTTCTTTGCGTTTTGGGTAGTATACATATAGCGCATATTCTATTATCGACCTAACATAGCTTTTGTAAAGTGTTAACAGTGTCGTTGGGTCTGCACCCCACCAAATTCCTTGTAAGTATTTAATCAAATTCGATGCTCTGGCACATCGAGAGATGACTTTGTTTATTTGTGGGATAAAGGTCAGTTTGTAATCAAAAATTACTCCGAGGAATTTGATCGATTCGCTGGACTTTATTACTAGTTTATCCACCTTAATAACTGTTTCTCCGGGCTTAATATTTTTATTATTAAAGTGAATGAAAATAGTTTTTTCTGGAGCAAGAAGTAGATCTATAATTGTGAGATTTGTTTTTATTTGATCAACTGCTTTCTGAAGAGATTTTAAATTGTTAGAGTAAAGCGCTATGTCATCTGCGAATTGTGATATTGAAACTCTACTTGATATGTTTTTTATTATATTAGCTACAAAAATTATATAGAGGAGCGGACTTAAGACTCCTCCTTGCGGTACACCTTTATATGCTATTTTAGGTTCTGTGATTTCATCCGCAAAGACTTGTCTTTCCATTGTTATAAACTTTATAAATTTAATTAACATAAGAGGGCAGCCAATTTTCGCGAGTTCGTCGAGTAGTATTTTAATGTTGACATTATCGAATGCTCCCTTAACGTCAAGAAAAGCAGCATATACATCTTTCTTTCTACGTAAAGCTGATTGAACCGAGATCGTTAAATTAAGTAGGTTGTCTTGACAAGATTGACCTTTTCGGAAGCCGCTTTGGCTATCTGGAAGTATCTTTTGTGTCTCAACCCACCATTGGAGTTTATTTTTTATCATAGTTTCAAACAGCTTACATAGAGCGGATGTAAGAGCGATAGGTCTATAACCTTTATTATCAGGCTTAGGAATGAGATGCACATAAGATTTTTTTCCAATCGGCCGGGAAATCGCTAGTGGTGTACATTTCATTGAGAATGTCGAGGAGAAGAAGCTTATATTTGATTGGTAGTTTTTGCAGCGTATAATAGTCTATTCCGTCAAGACCGGGTGATGAGCTAGTGTTTCGAGAGTCTAAAGCATGATTAAATTCATTAAAGTTAAAAGGGCATTCAAGAAAATCGTTTGTTTGGCACGACGGTAAGTAATTGATGTCAGGACACGATGTAACAGCAGGGCATAGCTTATTGAGCGCTTCTAGTTTCTTGTCAATCTGTAAGTTTTCCGGTACGTGCGAGACATTAACCTTAATCCATTTATTTTGCAAAATTTTACTGGTGTTCCAAACATAGCGACCATCAGTTAATAAGTTAATTGTGCTTGCAAACTTGACATAGCTTTCTTTCTTTTTCTTTTTGAAGATTATTTTTGATAAAGCTAGCAACCTTTTATACTCTACTAAATCGTCAAGGTTTTTCGTTTTTTCCCATGCTTTAAAGGCTGAATTTCTGTGCCTTTTGACTTCAGAACACTCCTTATCCCACCATTTTACAGGGTTGCGATGGATTTTAATATTTACTATTTTCTTTTTGGGTGTGCTGCCAGAAACTATTCGAGTAATATGGTTAACAAAGTATTCATATTTATCGCTCGCACTGAGGTTTCAGAATTCGCTAGTTAGATAATTTTCAAATGAGTCTGATAAGTTTTGTATAACTTTGACCCAGTTTGTTTGCGTAGATCTAATTCTATGACTTTTTTTATGATAAATATACTTTTCGGCGCTGAAATTAACAAAGATAGGGTAATGGTCAGAGCCCCAAGTTTCATCATTTACTTGGATGTCTATTTTATCAGCTATATTTTTAGTCGAGAGGATTAAATCAATGTTCGATGAAGAAGTATAATCAATGTGGGAGTATGTGTCAGAATTGTGTATAAAGAATTTGTGTTTATCTATACATTCAAGTAAATTTTCCCCATTAGCGTCAGTTTTATTGCAGTTCCAATCAATATGGTAAGCATTGAAATCTCCGACAAAAATGCAGTTGTTTTCATTTTTAAAGTTATTAAAAACCATATCCCATTCTTCAAATGTAAAGACGAGACCAGGGACTCTATAGCATGCGATTAGACTTATTGGTGGTGTAATATTGTTAATTTTAATTCCGCATAGTTCAAACGCTCTGTCAGGAACTTTTAAGTTTTTAATTTCGCAATAGGCTAAGTTTGATCTTATTAAGAGCAGTATACCGCCACCTGTTGTGTGTGTCCTATCCAGCCTGTAGTTGACAAAACCTGGGAAGTTGATGTTCTTGATCCCTTCGTGAAGCCAGCTTTCAACGCAGACAAGGATGTCAATATCAATAAGAACTGACGCCAATTCGTCTTTACGTTTTAGGAAACTTCTAGCATTCCAGTAGAGAATTTTAATTTGTCTGTTTATTGTTTTTTCACCCATCTTGAGAATTTAATAAGGAAATCGAACTGTGATGGTCGGATTCATCGTTTGAACTGTCAGTAATTTCAGCCTCTTCTATAGAGTTTAGTTTCTCGAGTTTGCTAATCATCTTCGTAATGCGAGCTTTTAGTTTGCGTATTACATATGGATATGTGTCTCTGAGCATCTTGATAAGTCCTTGAATATCTGTAGTAAGACCTTCTGCTAATTCTCTCAAGTTTGGATTGCCATATGATTCTTTAAGGAAGACGGCAAGTTTGTCGAAATCAAGTGGATAGTCATTTCTATTTTTTAAGAGGAAATTTTTGGCTGGAGCGAGTAAAGTGTTTATTTTATCCTGCGTGCATTGATTTGGTGTTGCTTTTTTCAAATGTTTTCCATTTGTTGATTTTTTGTTCTTGTTACTTTGACCATCGGGATTTTCTTCCGTCGATTGAAACTTCTCAGATGCTGATAAAGTAGAGCCGGAGAGAACACTAGAAGTTCTTTTCATTGCTGGATTCATAGGAAGGATTGAGGGGGGGGGGGGCATTTCTTGTTTATGTGTGTTTGCTACTTCTGTAGTAGCGTTGGTTCTGCCGATGTCACTTACATTGCTTTTGTTTTGGTGATTACTTGAGTCTACTACCATATCTGTGTCTGCGCTATTGTTTACTTCGTGTGCTTTGCAGTCCTTAGCCTCGTGACCCTCTTCTCTGCATAAGAAGCAGCCAATTTTACCGCTCGAGAAATATATCCAATATATTGTTTTGTCGTACTCGATTTTCATGCTACTCGGGAGCTTTTCGAAGTCTTCAGGGCTTATATATACTTGTCGCCTAAAGCTCAAGACATGAGCATACTCCGGCTCGTTAATGCTAGCTTTGATACACGTGATTTGCAAAAGTGGAGTGATGCCGAGGGCCTTGATTTCATCTTCGATAATGTAATGAAGAATAATAGGGCAAACGTTGGAAATAATTGTTCTCTTTGCTTTGGATATCAGAGGTCGTAGCGTAAGAATGTGCTGATCAATGTTTATTTTCATGCCCGGCTCAGTAAGCTTGTCGACTAATTCCTGTGAACTTAGGTATGCACAGATTCTGCTATTCGAAATTCTTGAGACAAAGAGGATGTTGACAGGCTTGACAATTGCTCCGATGGCGAGAGTATAATCTTTGATTGTTAATCCTTCAATAGCATCGGTAACAATGGCTTGATCTTTTTTGGGAAATTGAGTGATCTGCGCTACTCTGGAGTAAGACACTTTGGGATTGATTTGGATCTGTGAGGGGTTTATTCCATTTGGAGGTGAGGTACTTTGAGAGATGAGGCCCCTGTAGTCAGATGTCATCTTGAAGGTTTGAGAGTGCACAGCTAAGATAGTGCACACGCACTATCTATCACTATACACTAGAACAGCACTATATAGAAACAGTCACAAGCGTGTACTGTACTACCATGCGCTGTGGTAAGCACTCGTTCACGCTCCTGACTGTAAACACGTCTTTACTCGCCGGAGGTTCAGACGAGACTATAAACTTTGTTTAATTACAACATCTAGTAAACGATCTTTTTTCAAATCGAAAACTCTTGCTACTAAATCTGGTCTATCGGCAGTTTGTTGTCCTGGAAACAAATTTTCTATTATTTCTGGCCAATTAGGGTTACATGTCATTGTGAGAAAAATATCTGGTTTTCCTGTCTCATTTACTATAGCCATAGCGTCTTGATAACATTGTTGCATATGCCGCGGTGATCCATTGAATGATGAAGGAAGAATAATAGTCTTGCCTACTTGACCATGAACATCATTTGCACAAATCCTCATGTGATCATGTAAACCTTTGTACGTATCAGCCCGTATTTCTTTTTGATGATTCTTACAATAATCAATTCTATCTCTTTCAATTTTTACATAACTATCTACTACCCATTGTTAAAATAGTTTACGCCCTTTTATAATAGGATTAAATTCATCGCCCCTAATAGGTAACCTATGTCTAGTGTAATCTAAGCGCGTGATTTTGCGATTATTATCAACGCGATGCATGTTATGATGCCAACAGTGTGGTCCATATGGGTAGAATAAAGGATAAATCCAAGCTTCAACATTAGAATCTAAGGAACTTACAGTTTGTAATTTTTTTGTATTTTTATTCCTCACAGTAATGTATGATTCAGGAATTTCTCCATCAGCAGTTGTTGAAAATATTGCAGCAACTTCATTTACTCGTTGAAAATTATATCTACGCATATCTTGTCCAGGTTTTAATGAAAATAGTAAATGTAGTTCTGATGATGATGATTCGTTTCTCATGTCTGATACTATTTGTTGTATGCATATTTCATCTTTCATCATTTCATAGGATTTAGCATAAATGTTATTATCACGAATAATACTGTCTAAGATTCCCATTAATTCATAATCTATTAGAGGATTTTGTTGGATTCGATAATCTAAAGCTTCGCTTTGATCTATAAAAAAAAGTTGTCCATATGATGGATTTTCATCATCGCTTGGATGTAAAGCTGTGTTCATTTGATAATATATTTGTCCTTGAAAACAGTATGGACTGGGTCGACGCGTGTTAAAATGAACTAAATTAGCATTGAATGAAGCAAAAGATAATGAACTGTTATAATTACGTAAACGTTCGAAAAAATTGGATGATTTATTGTGTTCTCCATTGAATAGATTTAAAAGATCATGTGGAAAATCTGGAAATTTATCCAATTTTATTGATCCATGACCACAGCAATCATTGAAAGAAAATTTCTTGTTTGAAACTTTTTCATTTTCGAAATGTTGAGCTTGGCAATGTTCGCATAAAATATTCATTAGTCCTAAGTAATCTTTTTCAACTATATCAATATTTTCTTGTGAAATACGATTATCGTCAATGATTAACTGGCGTGCATTTTGTCGTTTACGACGTTGATATTCTGTTTCTCGGATTCTCCTATTCTGTCGAGTAGTCTCTGCCTCTGTGTCTGTATTTTTTCGTCGACCCATAATGTATCACTTACAAAAGCAAATAAAATGTGTATTCGATTAAGTAACTCAATGACACAATAGTTTGCAATTAAACTAAAAAATATATTTAATTACATTAATTTGGTTTTTACAATTCAGTATTTGGATTGTTCAAGGTTGTATTTATTTGGTTTATTTTGATTAGGTTTTGGTTTGGTACGGTTTTGGTTTGGTTTGGTATGGTTTTGGTTTGGTTTGGTTTGGTATGGTTTTGGTTTGGTTTTTGGTTTTGGTTTTGGTTTAGTTTTAGTTTGGTTAAAAAAATGATAAAATGTACAAATTATTTTTGTATCACATTTATTTAAAGTATTATGAACATTTTATCGGATGGTTTCCAATATATTCAATTGTTATTGCATCCAGAATTGTAACATGAAAAGGGTAATCTTCATTGAACCAATGTTGGATTTTTGCAACGAAAGCTCCAATAATGTTGATAATCAGCAATGGAATGCAATGTAGATTATTGAGTATTTGAAGATACAAAAGTCAATAAATTCAACTAAATTATAACCTTGTTTTTCAAAATAAATTTCTTATAATTGTCAATCATTGTGTGACGTCGGGGTCACTCTCAGGTACGCTTGGAGTAAGCGTAAACTCAGGGTTGCTCTGATTTGGCTATCGTGTAACACATAAGCCGGGACGAGCAATATTGTTGCGTTGAGAAAACTGTATGCTAACGCGGAATGTAATAACCAAATGTTATTACGAACACACCAGACTCACGCTTAATGTGTTCTTAAGGGACTTTAATGAAAATTCACCAGACTCACGCTTAATGAATTTCCAAAAAAAGAGGGCGGATTGTTTAAAGAAAGAAAAGAATAGCCAGATATAAGATTTTACTTACTTTTATTTTATCAAATCACTCATTATTAAAGTTGCGTTCTCTCTGCTCTTTGGCCTCTTTCTCTCTCTATATGCTCTGAATATACTTGGGTGACTTTTCTTCTTTGATGCTTCCTCCGGGACTCACTCACTGGTAAACACTTCTTATTAGGGACTTCCTGGTACTCACTCCGCACTTACTCTTCTCTCTTTTCCAGTCTTGTACAGAGCTTTTTATAAGCCGTGGGTGGTTGGGTGGAAATCCCTTTCCTCAGGCCCATGAGGCGATAACGGCCAAATTTTGTATTGGTGAGAAATTTTCTAATCATATCCAGAATTTCTTTATTGGTCTGTGGGCGTAAATTTTCAGAGAGAGAAAGGGCGGTCCCTTTTTAACTTAGGCCCTTTTCTCCAGAGACGGCTCTCGGAGTGCCACTTTTAAGAGCAAGAGTAACGCTATAGTTTATAATTACTTATACATAATCGTACTAAACTTAATTAATTATAACGATACATAGTGATTATTATAAGCATTCAGAAAAATCCAAACCTTTTACGATTTATTATAAAATACATTATTGTTCTATTTATTGGTTATTCGGTGACAAAAAGATGCGCATTATAATGGCTTACAAAATTGATGAAAATCTATTTAATATTACGGATATTTTCTTAAAAATCGGTGGGAAAAAAAAGATAGATTGCATTTTTATGGTCCCCTTCCATTATCAGCGTGATAACACTTCACGATGTATACGCGATGATCGTAGGCCCCTGTCAACACATGCGTGTAAGCTTGAGTACGCAGGCTCGGGCCACTATCAAAGTTTATATTTCGAATGCGTTTTCATCGTGGGAAATTAGGAAGGTTCCCACTCCGTTCGTCATATTTAATAATTAAATTAATAGAGGAAAAAAAAAACTAAGTCACGGCTGGCCGTCACAATTGGCTGGCCCCATATCATACACAATGAATCTTACTATTGTTATTGCTTACTTTAAATTTTATCAACGGCATTTCTTTATCTTTACCAGCATGTGAAATTTCTACAGCGTCAATTTATCCTGTTAATTTACTGAAATTATATTGATAATAATGTGTATTACGTAATTGGAACACAAATGATTTTATGTAGTTTATTTTTAAAAGTTATGTGTGTGATTTGAAAGAAGCAATTCTTAAAAAAAAAAGAGTAGCAATAGACTATGGGAGTGGAATAATAGCCGTTGATTTTTGTATCTACTTACACTGTACCAGGAGTTGCATTGATAATATTTTTGAATTCTTCATCTGAACTGTATACTATTGCCATGACCAAGAATATTTTTTGGAAAAAATCTTATACAATGTAAATGAAGTAATTGGGAATCTGAAAAAAATCATTGTTATCTATATTACTCAAGAATTAAGTATTGTGGCAGGGAATTTCGGGGGGTTTGACCGCGCTCCGAGTTCTTCTGTTTGGTTCTACCCCCGATTATTTAGGGCGCCAGACCGTCGGCTGATTACGGCGATCGTCGGGGGTAAGGCCAGTAGGGTTACGCGTATCCCGGTCTGCCTAACCGCGACTGCGCAGAGTGGGCAGATGGGGGGGATACGCGTTGTGTCCTGACTTCAGGCCTTTGGTGTCCAACTTTCCTTCGATTTCTCCTTGATTAGTGTATGCCGGCAGCTCAGATGACGACTCCTTAGGTCAGGTCGTGAGGACGTTCGAAATCGCGCGTATTTTACCTAACGAATAATCCGAAAATATAGCGAATTAATAAACCCGTATGTAACCGACCGCGGCTGAAAATCACTAACATGCAACAGGGGCAGGTTATCAAATAAGATATATATGTATATACAGACAATTAATAGTTTTATTGATGCATTAAAAGTTTCTCACATACGAGGTCGGAATAAATGTGGTCGGTCGAATCCTAAATTTTCATTAATCCCTGAGATACAATTTAAACGGTTCCTAAAATGGCGGAAAGGTCAACGCGAGTAACAAATCGCAATTTTCCTTTATAAAACCTACGCTCAAATTCGGCTTGCGAAATGGCGGAAAGGTTAGCACAACTAGTTAGTCAAAACAATTTACTTCAACGGAACCTACGTTTGTACTAAGTAACTAACGAAAGGTCAGCGCGAATACTAACTTGCAATTTTCTTTTGTGAGACGAACTTAATAAACGTGACGAAAGGTCAGCGCGAATACCAAGTAGCAACTTTCTTTTACAAAACGAACACTTAATAAAGTCGACGAAAGGTCAGCGCGAATACTAAGTCGCAAATTTCTTTCGTAAACTCTACACTCAATAAATGGTAAACGAAGGTCAGCGCGAATCCTAAATCGCGAATCTCTTTCGTAAACCGAACACTCAATTTAAATTCGCGGAATGGCGGACAGGTCAGCACGATCCTATAGGCACCGACGTCGACGGATCCACGCGTCGCGACGACCTACGGCACTGAACTATCGATTCCCGCACTTCACGATTAATTAGAATTGAGCGGCATTTTGCCTACTTACAAATTTTCCTGGTGGTACTGGCAAACAAAATTGGCAACAGGGAGTATAAGAGGCGTCTAGCGCTAAAGGTTCGACAGCGAAAATCAGCTAATAGAGACTCCTTCTCTCTAGATCTCCAATAGCGAAATATCTGAGGCGTCTAGCGAGAGTAACAATAGAGAGAGGCTCCTTCCTTGCGGATATCCAGTGGCAAAATGGACGAGAATCGGCTTCTCGCGGTCAAAGATCGTTTCTCTTCTCCTCTTTCCGAGAAGAAATATTATTATTGGTCGGTATGCTAATTCGGATATCGGTAGCGCCCTCCGGATTTTTATCATTGGTCCGTATGTAAATTAGAATAATACAGCGCCCTCCTTAACTCTCCTACTTTCGTCGTTATTTACTCTCTCTCACCCCCCACTAAGGTATCTATCATTAATTGTCGGAAAAGATCTACCCCTACTCTTATCTATTCGTCTATGCGGACGGAAATCAAATTTTATTCTAATTTGCCTATTGGTCGTGACGTCACTAGCGAATTTTGTCAGATATTCGAATTCGGTCAGTTAAATTATTATTAAATCTAAAGGGGGTAGTTGTCGCTCGCTATCATAATAGGGGTGTCGGCCGCGTGCGAATTTTACAATTCGATATCTGTTTCGTTTTCATTCTTTTCCAATTTAACATTTATTTTATTATCAGAGATACGTATATAATGTGCCGTTTCATTTGTAGCGCCCTCATCTTCGCATTTGCATATTATTCTATTATTTTATATCGTCTGTCTCGCTCGCTCTTGTTTCGTCTATTTCGCTCGCTCTGTCTCGCTCGCTCTGTCTCAGTCTGTCTCGCTCGCTCTTGTTTAGTCTGCTTCGCTCGCTCTGTCTCGCTCGCTCTGTCTCAGTCTGTCTCGCTCGCTCGCTCTCAGTCTATATCGGCGCATCAAGATGGCCGCTCAGTTCCTAGTGCGTACGCCTCGTGTCCTCGTGCCGGTTGTTGGAGCGCCTCCTGGGGCGCTCCCGTGTCGGTTCTGTGGTGCTTTTCCGGGTGTTAGTGTGTGGTCGCTGATTTTCGTGTGTGTGTGGCGCTCAGGATGTCGCCGATGGTGTTCGGCAGCCCGACACAGCTGATTGCCGGCTGCCACTTCATCGGCGATTTTCTGCTCGCCCCAGGAGTGTCAGTGCCTCGTGAGTGTTCGTGTTAGTGTCGGGGAGTGTAACGGATCTGCATGTGTCATCAACATGCATCTCCGTTGCATTTCCCAGTCAGATTTTGCATTTTTCTTTTTGCCGGCCGGCAACACGTGGTCGGGAGTGTCTGTGAGTGAGTGTGTGCGTGCGCTCTCTTTTTCTGTGGTGCGCTCCTTTTTTCTTTTCTGCTCTTTGAGCATCCGTCGGATCGCGTTGGGCAAGTTTGTTTCGCCCATATCTCCGGCGTGGTCATTCGGACATGGAAAATAATAATGGTTCGGTGTAGGGCGTGTTTAGTTTTATTTTAAACAACCGGTTACGGGGCGGCAAGGGACGGGGATGGTCTTTCTGAGGTGTTGCAAATAATGTAAAGGCTTTGTAATGTGCCACATTACAGTATAATTAAACTTCCGATAAAACAAACAACGAAACAATCAACTTATTAAAATTACTTGTGACC